GATAAAGTGGTGCTGTATTTCCATGACTTGAAACGGGTTTAAATTTAGATTTAAAAGTTTAGTGATTTAATTTGGCTATCAGATAGAGTCCTCGGCAAAGTGATCTGATGTATGTGCGCTATAGCTAAGACCGGATGGTTGAGGGCGGGATATTCTTCTGTTACATGAGCCGAGGAGTCTCATGGAAAAAAATGGAATTAAACCCTAATAGAGATCCAATCTGGGGATGAATCAAGCTTTACTTGAACCCTTCAAAAAGAAACCAAAATAGGAGTTACTTGACCACAATATAGTGACATCATCTAGTGCTTTCATTTGTGAAGAAATGGCAAAGATTTCATGACCCTGACATTGCATTATTTCTTAAAATGTGACCGTAAAAGATATCGTTTTGGATAAAAACACTGGCGTTCTGTCCTGAACACCCCAAGTGATATCAAAGGCTGCAATTTCCCCCCTTGAGTGAAATCACGAACATCCCAGCCTTTTTCACATGAGAGCCTCCAGGGTCTTTAAGTTGACGGGAATTCGTGACACTGAGAGTTATAAACAAAACATATCCAGTAACTTGTTCCTGTAATGTAGAAAGATTCGCCTTCCTTTAGCACTAGTCTAACACGTAACAGCTAACACGTAACATGTCCTGTTTTGTCGAGATTGCTGACACCTCCAGCATAAAAACAGAAATACGTGGCGAAGCCTGTTCAGATGCGTCGTGACTAGGCTTCTATCTTGTTATATGCTGCTATTTGTCCTTAACTAATCCAGGGTAAAGAATTTTCACGAGATATGGTGAGTTATTTTAACTTTCATTTGATTTCAATAGAATTTATAGTTTTCAGGGAATCGCGAATTGTAGATACTGTTGTTGGTGTGAGCAGTCTAAGACTTAGGGTGAATTGTTTATTGTACGTGAATTAACTGAAGGGGTCGTGGCAAATGTCAAATGCTTCCTGACTGGGCATTTGTGTTGTTTTCCGCAATACCTTTAACATTAATTCGTTTTTGTGCCGAAAGTCTTTTTCAACCATTAAGCTGGGTTATTTTCGCATAGGAATTAATACACATAAACGGGCTGTTAACATATTACATGTTACGTGTATTCGTAAGATGTTTGTACGAGACCGTACTAAGGGCTCATTAGTTGAGAGGTTGCTTTCCAAATATGCTGAATTGTTGACTCCCGATTAAGCATAGACGTTTTTGAGCCATCGCGGGACGGCATGAAGCGCAACTTGATGTTTTTTAAATAGTTCCTTTTTGCCACTTTCACTCGCATCATTGAGTTGGAGGGAGAAATTCAATCGACTTAGCTTTAGGTTGCCATCGGGAGCGACAAACGGCCAGCTCCATTAAATCACTTTGCCCCAGCGCCTGCACTTCTCGACAAAGAAAAAAGAGAGGAAGCTTGTAGCTCTATGATCCGCCAAACAGTTTTGCCTTTGTGCGATACCCTCTATTAATCCCGGAATGCCTTCATGTAACCACACAGAATTCACAACCGTACGGCAGTCTTGTAAGTTCTCTTTAAATTTCAGATTACTTTCTTGGTCAGCATTCTTTTGATCTCCATATATGGAGTCCAAGTCAATTGCAAGGTATGTATTTTCTTATTTATGCCATTTTGTAATTAGTACTGAAAACTGAGTTTGTTTGTTCTGTGTGTGTCAGTTAAGGGTTCAAATTCGCCCTGGCCAAGGGTCTAAGGGATTCAGAAATGCACCATGTTTACCGGGCGTGAGGAGGTCAAAATAATATAATTGTCCGCGCCTCAGTGTTGAGAACGAGAGCGGCACCATTATTTCTGACACTAATTTCGCCACAAGAGTCAGTAAGTCTTTCGTCTTTTGTCTCAGTCACTTGACGAGGCTGCAAGCAACGCTTTTTGTATGAATGCAATAGGACAACATCTGACTGATCGCTTTCATCATGATGTTTTGTAAAAGTGTGCATGTGGGGGAGTTTACAAATGTATTGGAGTGTACATCGACTGGAAAGGATTGCTTCTACCCTGAGTAACCGAATACAAAATCTTGCACCTTTTAATATTATCACCAAAGAACATACTTGCCTGGCCCAGTCTCATTTAGGGCCCTGAAGGAGGTAAAATGAGAACTGGGATTTGCCTTTTCTTGCACTGGGTGAAAATAGGATTTGGGTCAATGGGACTTGCCGATTTTTTTGTGAGAATTTCCTTTTTACAGTTTCTTGTGTGTGTATGAGTAGTATTTAATTCCAAGTAGAATTTGTACTTTTGAAAATAGAGTAACAAAACGTCAACAGAAATGTGAGAACATATGTTAAATTTCCTTCTGAAATTTACGGAGCTTAACCTCGGTAATTAGCAAAAAGAAAACCGGATTCATGTGTTAACCTTGAGACTACAAACGACCGTTTAATGCCATTTCCTTGACATGAACTGTACATGAAAGACACTGACAGAAATATATGGTTTGCTTCACGGCATTGCAGGTTGCGAGCTATTCCCTCAATATCCTTGAAAAAGGAGCAATGGTTCAAGAGATTGTAGAAGTGGATGTAGACAACCAGACAGAAGTAATCCGTGTGCCTCAGCATAACGATGTGGCTGCCACGGAGACGATGAATGACTTCAAGGAAGTAAGATCTAAATTTACGTTGGAAAAGGCTGGATTGATAAACGGATTAAGGGATGTACAATTTATAGGTTTTGGCTTTGCAGGAAGTCCAGAAAAAGTGAATGATAAATGAGGGTTTGAAGGTATGAAGGAATGAACGAATCTCATTTGCGTCCTCAGAATTTAACTGTTCGCCGCATTCCATCAACACAAGACTGCTACGTATCTAAATTGGATTCATCTATTCCTGTGCCAGAGAGGATGGACTTTAACATGAAACAGGTACACAGATTTAAGAAGTTATGATTTCTAATCTTGTAGACATGCCATTTTGGTTGTATCAAGTGCTAGTTTTATCAAGCGCTGCTCACTTAATTGACCATATCGTACTTCTACCCTTTCAGCCCAAAGTTCAAAATATTAATTCTCTTAAATGTTTGGCTACATTTGTTTTTTATTACTTTCTGATAGCTTTCCGGTAGGTCAAGATTATTTACTCCATTTGATGATTTTATTCATTCATCTGGGCCGTGTTGTTCGAAAGCTGATTAAAAGGTA